TAACCATGAGCAGCCCCTGATGGGAGGAGGAGGGGAAGAGGATGTGGATGCCTCTCCCATCCTCTCCTGGCTGATGAGGACAGACCATCCAGGCAGGCAGGGCACAACCTCCAGGAAATCCACATAATGGGACTCACTATTAAGCCTTAATCAGCTTTGAGAGAGCATTAAGACTTGGCTCATTTTCCTTTTCATTTTAGTAATTTTGGTGATAAAATTACTTGGCTCTGAACACTTCAAAACGCCCTTTTCTATCCTGCATTTTTATTGTCAGGTTCTCCCTTGCAGTGTTTTCCATTCATTTGCATAAATTATCTTTTCCTCTTCTTTTAAGCAATGCTAAAATAAACAATGGAAATATATAAAGGAACCTATATTCTCTTATTTAATAATTAGATATTATCTCTGAACACAAAGAACAAAAGCGTGACATCCAATAAATCCAAGACAAAGCTTCAATTAGCCCTCATAATGCCCATAAAGCTGGTAGTGCCTTACAAAGATACATAAATGTCAGCACCTTTATTTTACGTGAAGAAAATGGAGCACTGAAAGCAGATGTGGTCAGATCACATCATGTCCAAGAATTCACACCCTTTCATTCCCAAACTAATTATCATCTCTGATAACAATGCTCATCCTCATAGCAGTGTTCAGCTATGCAATACTGTCCTTCAGTAGCATTGTCTGCTCACACTAAATGCCCACAAACATGGGGAAAAAACTGATCCAAACCTGAACTCTGCTCTTCTGAAGCCAAATGGGCACAACAGGCAGCCAGTAAAGCCAGCCATGCACATCAGGCGGTGGAGAAACCTCTCAGTCACTTCAGCAGCACTAATGGCAATCCCTGTGCTGCCCAACAACCCGGCTTCGTCCAGGTACAACTACTGCAGTGCTCTGCCACACCACAGTGTTTGGCAGCAATTACAGGGTCAGCAGACAGTTAATGAGCACCATAGCACGAGGAGAAGCTCAACAGAAAAAAAAAAACAAACTTAAATAGAAAAGAAAGTGGTTAGTCACAAGGCATTATAATAGAGCATAGTAAACAGTCCAGTTCATCAAATAAACAAAGTAAATGTCGCATGCTGCTGGGAATTCTCTGAAAGGAAGTGAGAGCTCTCTGTTTTCATAGAATCATAGAATGGCCTGGGTTGAAAAGGAGCACAATGCTCATCAGTTCCAACCCCCTGCTGTGTGCAGGTCACCAACCAGCAGCCCAGGCTGCCCAGAGCCACATCCAGCCTGGCCTTGGATGCCTGCAGGGATGGGGCATCCACAGCCTCCTTGGGCAACCTGTGAACAGTGCATCACCACCCTCTGTGTGAAAGGAGAATTCAGCCCCACTGGTCGTCTGAAGCAGCTGTTCAGTGGGAGCAGAAGTACAGGTTCCCACCAGGGAGCACCAAATAAATGCACAAAGCTGAGGGCGCAGCCTGTGGTGTACAGGCCCAAACCCAATGGCAAGGTGCAAACACATGCTCTATTTACCAGTGACTTGCAAATGTAGCTTCAAAAAAGAAAAGCTCCTTCATCTCACTAGGACCTTACAGGCTCCTTTTTCTCAGCAATAAACCATCAGTGCCTTCTGTTCTGGATTTCAAAAACAAAAGCTCCGTGCTGCAAAGGCTGCACCGTGTGAGGAGGGCCATCCAGCACAACAGGGTACACAGGAAAGGCTTCTGATGGCTTTGGGCCTGCATTGTGGTTTGGGGAACACACCATTAAAATCAGCTGCTCCTGAAGTGGCAGAAGGGCGGAAGTTGACAATAATAAACCACAAACACTTGTGCAGCCAGTTGAAAGCAGTGCCTTCTTCCTCCCCAGCATCACCAGATACAAAATTAGAAACAGTTCTGGCAGCATTTTGTCTGTTGCATATGAAGCAGAAGCGAACAGACTTGCTAAAATTCAGCTGACATCTCTTGCACTACTCTTGGGTTCAACCACATGCAAATGCGTCAAGTGCAAGAAGTTCCTGCCCTGTCTTCAGCCACTGAGAAGCAATGGCTCAGCACTGAGGCTACTCTTTCACAAAAGCATAGATTTCTGCTAAAGGATGTCTACACCAGACTACATATCATGAGACTTACAGAGGAGTTCCCAGAAGCAGCTGCTGTTGGCAGCAGACAACAGAGGATCAGCGTTGTGACTTCCTCTGGATCCTAACTAGCTGTGTGAGGAGTAAGATGCACTGCATAGGAGAGTGCTTTATCATTAGAAGTCCTCCAGGTCCATGCTGCACCTTCAGCAATACAACTTGCTGCCATTGTGGAGACAATCACATGAAATTCAATCAAAGAATTAGTAAAATATGGAAATCCACACCAGGAATCCTACTTCAGGCTTTCACACCAGCACAGCTACACAGCACTGCCACACAGATTCAGGGCCTTCCATTTCTGCACCATAATAGCAATATGACAGATCAACTTTTGAACTTCTCCACAGCAAACAACTACTCCAACTGAAAGAAGTCATGTTTCCCCTTTACTACCAAACAGAACAGACAGGAACAGCAGATTCTGAGGGATGCTTAAGGGAGAAAAACTAACCCAAAATTCCTTATAAGCAAAACCTCTGCCCATGTGATGCAGCCTCAGGACAGACTCATGACTTGCCTAAACACACAGACTATCTCCTATAAAACACCACTCCACGTTAATCATTCTTCTAAAAGCATCTCTGCTCAGCACAGAATTTAGGATGACAAACTAGCAGCTAATTGCATCAAGCGTCACGCAACACATTTTGAGGGAAAGGCTCAGAGCCTGCTTCCAGTTAGCATGACCTTATCTAGGATTTTAGAGATGCTCACGTAGATCTACCAAAAAAACCACACCAGCAACAGGATAATGAGAGACAAGAAGTAAAGACAGAGATGACAAGACGGTGCCCAACAAATCTGATCCTGTATTATGAATTGCATGTGCAGGCTGACAGGACTGAAGCTTTGAGCGCGTACACTTAGTATCATAGAATCCTTAGAGCTAGAAGGGACCTCTGAAGGTCATCCAGTCCAACTGCTCTGCAATGCACATGGACAGCACAGCTAGGTCAGGTTGCCCAGGGCCTGATCCAGCCTCACTCTGAAAGTCTCCAGAGACAGGGCATCCACCACCCCATTGGGCAGCTGTTCTGAGTGCCTCACTACCCTCACTGTAAAAGACTTTATATCTAACCTAAATCCGCCCTCTTCAAGCTCAAAACCATTTCCCCTTGCTCTGTCACAACAGAGCCTGCTAAAGAGTCTGTCCCCTTCTTTTCTGTAGCTCCTCTTTACGACAGTAGGCCGAAAAAACCTTAGATGTAGAAACAAAAAGTGGAAGAGATGATTCATATGGGCAACCAATGAAAAATAGTTATCACATACATGTCTGGCTGAAGAACAGCTTGGCAAGGTACACCAAAGAGATCTTACTTCATGAAAGCAAAGGGGAGCACAAGGGCAATTCACCCAACTTGTTCCTCAATGAAATCATGTGAGACAAGCGAGGCACAGAAAGCTGAGGGATGGACATCCAATGGGCCCTTCAAAAGCAGACATCAATCCTCAGCTATCCATAGCAGCAGGGAAGTGGGGGCATGACCCCAAGTGCTCCATCCAGTCTGTGCCACTAATAACAGGGGTGCCTCCCCTCCACCTAACTACTGGGTGCTAAAGATGGTACAGAACCACCGCATCAAGGTTTTGCATTATCATCCCACATCTCTACAGAGATTGCTACAATGAGGCATTATCCCTGGAGACGCCGTTCTCATAACCCCTCCCTCCTTTGTGCTCACTCAGCAATAAGGCCATGCACACAGCTGACCAAACCAGCCCTCTTCTCTCCCAGTACTTACACAGCTGATGTACAGGGAAATGACACAAATGCCAGTTCCCAGCAATTCTAGCACAGCCATATCTCTTTAAAGATGAACTTTCAGCCTGCAGCAAATCATTCTTTTTAAGGTAGAGGTCAATTTAGTCTTCAAGATCCTGTTTGAGATGGTACCAGCCCTAAGGACGCATCTGTGCTCTGCATAAGAAAGCTTTCTCACATTGCATGGGATGCAGAGAAGCATATGAACCAACAATATCATGCAGGACATTACTCCAGATCAAGAGGAGGACTCCTGAAAATTCAAGGCATATTTCCAGCACTGCCAGAACCAATCTAAACCTCTTTGAAGAAAGCAAGATCCGACAGTATTTGTTTTCTAAGTTGACGGCTGCTAAAGAAATTCCATGACCCAGGGCAATAATCCAAATCAAAGCAACACATCTGAAATACAGCTCCAGCCTGAAAAAGTTTGTTGAACTCTTGAAATTTGTACCACCACACTGAATAAAATTTGAAGGTTACTGAGAGTCCGTGCAAGAAAATCTGATTTCAGAAAGGGTGTTCCTGAAAACTTGGCCTACATTTCAACCACTCTTAGAAGTGGACTGTGAACACATAAATAAATACACATTCCTGAGGAATAATTGTATTCAAGCTTTCACCATAATATCCAAAATACATCTGAAGACCAGATGAGCTTTGTAACTGTGGTTCTACTCTTAAGAATGTCAAAGAAGACTAAAATACTGTACCTAAAGAGCACGAGCACGCAAAGAGCTCTTTGCAGACACCCAGACATGCGCGTGGAATTTAATGTCCCATCCAAGCTGCTCTGGGATAAAGCAAATACGAGCTGGTCAAAGGAGCCCCAGTGTCCTACAAAGCTTCTGCACGAACACAGACTCCCAGCCACACCAACTGATGTGCAGGACAGACATCTCCAAAATCAGCACTTCTTGCACAGAATTATTTACCTTAGTGTTATCAGTGTTAAGACAACAACATGTCAGTACTGCAGAATCACAGAGTACCTCAAGTTGGAAAGGACCCATAACAACCACCATAGGAGTCCAACTCCTGTGTGAACAGGCACTGCAATTTCTTTCTGAACAATGGTCAGAATAACCATGCACACCTCCTTCCCTCTTCCGTGTTCCAAGCACTACTTACGGTTGTGTGATGAGAGACGCTGCCTCCAATATTGAGGTTTTTGAGAAGCTGGGGAGACCCTCCATACTGCCCTGAGATCTGCTTCCTGACTTCAGCCGCCACGGTTCTGAAATGAGACATGGACAACATTACCACTGTAAAAGAATGACAGTGAAGACAACGAATCAAACGTGCTATACTCTGCTGCTGGAATAAAACCAAGCTCTTAGCATGCTAGCTGGAACAGGAATGGTGCTGTCTGGTGAGAATAAACCATGTATATTAAACTCCTGGAGAACCGCAAAATTCTAGCAAGGCTACAAGTACATTTTTTTTCCTTTTGTGAACTGCTCTTCAGTGCACATACGTGGCAATAGAATACATGACATATGTACAAACTTGTTCCCGGCAGGCTCTTTCCAGTTCCTACCATGGAAAGATCTTCTCCAGAGCTCTCCACATCCCACAGCAGTCCCAGGTTTGGTCACTCATCCTCCCCTGTGCTCTGCTCTCTCAGCTCTTGCCTACTTTCGGTTTTTGCAGCCATGGCAATGAGGACGGGCAGTCACTCTCTGTCCAACAGCCAGCCCCTCCAACAGCCCACCCCCAGGGCAGAAAAGCCATCCCACATAGGGTGGGCCGAAATCACACAAGGGAAACAACCAGCTGGGTCACAACAAAAGCATCTCCCCCTTTTCAAAGAAGAAAGGCGGCAGTAGGACCATGACATATTACTGTGGTGCAAGGGCTGCTAAAACCCTGCACATAAAGATGGTCAAAGCTTTCCTGAGCCTCAGGCTGCTCCTGATTTAGGGCAGGGGTGGAGGCACGTGGAAGCAACTGATGCTGGTGTTAGAGAAGGAAACTGAATGGGAACTGACTGGGACAACCAAGCCTACCATGAAGAGCAGATGTTTCCTCATGCTGGACAACGGCAGTGAGATTAGCCAGAGGAAGCATTATTTTGTCTTCTAAAAAAGTAGACTTCAGAAGGAAAAAAAAAACAAAAAGTTTTATTTATTGTGGTTACAAGAAGCCATTTGCTTCGTGTTTGCCTTTATCTGCAGGGGACTATGTTTTCACTTCTGGAGGGTGGCTTCTGAAAGCAGGGCAAACAGCTTCTGCTGGGGATGGACAGCACTCAGGGTGTCAGACTGCCCTCAGAATAACCATCTTCTCCATCCCCACCATGCACATACAAAACAAAGCACACATGCTGCCAGTATCTACAGGAAAAATTGAATGTATTAAGATGGCTGTTCGGCATGGAAAACATAAAGCATCTGCAGCTGATGGGATTTAAAAGCTTGCCCAGGGTTGTAGACAACCTCTGCTTTAAGCCTCATCTCTAACTCCACGCATATTCTGTGCAGAATGGCAGATCAGAGCCTGCATTTGGCCATGCAATGCAACACCAGAAAAACTAAACACCTTTCCCCGCTTCATGAGAAGTGCACTGCTCCCAGGTGGAAAGCACAGCCAGAAGAGGAAACTCATCCTCTGCTGGGAGGCCACAGGCATCCAGCACAGCACTCAGCACAGCTCCTTCTGGTTACAGCAGCTCTCCACGAGCCCAATGTGTGGCTGGTGCCCCATGCTCTGAGATAGGCTCCAGGGAGACTCCTGGTCCTTTTCTCCAGGTGATGGCTCTGTGTTGGTGTGAGCGTGGCTGTAGCTGGGATGAGCTGGCTGCACACAGACCTCAGGTCCCCTACAGGCCTCTGCAGGATCTCCTACAACTTGCTCCATGCCTGCAGTCTGGTGCACAGACCTACCTGGCTTCTGTACCACAGCATTCACAAACACAGTGAACCACTACTGGAAAGCATCATGCTTCGGATGCTACATAACCCCAAACATTATTTCTATGCCCACCAGAATCTAAGCTTCCTTAGATTAGAAAATATACTGCACCTAATATAACCAGAAAAAAAGAAAGAAATCTCAAAATAGTATCCAAATGAAAAAAATCCATTTGGCAGAAGAGGATTCTGCCCCTTGAACAGCTACCTTATATTCATCACGTCACCTGGGATCCTTAGACAAACCTTCCAGTTCACTGCAGCTCATAGCCTCATGAAGCCCAGGATCTCTGTGTTTAAAGTGCATCTTTTCCAGCCTTTTCCCTTCCGACCTCCTTCACTGGTTAATTATTGTTATGTGCATGTGGTTTACACAGAAAGAAACAGACAAAGGAGAGGGAAAAAAAAAAATCCCCTTGGAATTGGCTTCTAAAGCAAAACACAGCTGGTCATTTTCTAAGCGCTCGGAGCTGCAAACGGAATGCAGCCATTTGTTTGTACTTCCATCTTTCTTTATTACACACAGAAATACATTTTTGCTCTTATAGAGCTGATGCTACCAAAATGAAAAACCATTCCTTTTTGGTTTTAACTTAAGAAGCACACTGGAAATACCAATTCTTCCCAAGGAAAGGCTCGTGGAGACCTCAGAAGGAACTTCATACCCTTTTTGTGCAGGGTTATGTCAATTAAGGTTATAAACTCTTCTCCTTCTCAGAAGAGCCGGCTCAGGATACAGCCCAGCCCATCTACATCATATGCTGCATTAACACTTAGGGATGTAACAAATAACAGAAATGGAACTGGCAATCTTTGCCCAAAATGGAGCTTAACAAAGGGTTTCTATTCCTATTTCTGCTAGTACAATCTAGTTTAGCACCAAGGTACTCAGCACCACGCAGTGAGAGCTGCCATTTTTGGGTTCTCCATACAAATACTCAATTTTTCTTGCAATGCATTTCATAGGAGACATCTTACTTTTTCCATACAGTTTGAGGAAGTCTCTTTTCCACAGCCTGCCCCATTTTGAGAGAGTACGGCAAAATGTTTGATTCACCCCTCATGCTCATTACAAAATTATTACTCCTGTCTGCAATTTGTGTCTCAAACACAGGTCTCTGCATTCAGTGAGCATTTGCCTCTTGAGAAAGGCAGCCTGGTCCAGCAAAGCATCTGCACCAATCCATGGCAAAGACTTGGGTTGGAATTCCCAAAGCTGAATGGCACCAGTTAGTTTTCTGTCTTGGGCTGCAGGCGAGACAAGCTGTCCACGAGTGCCCCTCCTGTCCAACAGGACAGCACTATCCACACTTGCTCCATGGCATGAGTCAGTGGGTACGTGGTACAGCAGACAAGGAGCCCAAGTAAGATACCAGTGCAGGCACGCCCTGACCACCACCTTCCTGCAAAACCTCAGGTCCCACTTCCTCCCTTTGAGTGAAACGGGTTTGATTTACAACCCCTTGCTGAGGAAATACTCAGCCTGATCCCAACCACTGCAGGATAAGCGTGGGTTCTTAACACAGAAGATGAACAATGTGTTCCCTTCTTCTTTACCATCAATTAAAGCAGCAAACACCATGGAATGCTACCTGGGGTGCTCTTCTGACAGCATCTGAGTGCTAAGGCGGAAAGGGTCACCCCTGGCTGAGCTCCCAACATACCTGCCTGTGAAAATCACCACAGGGCTGGACCTTTCAGGAGAGAACAAAGGCACGTCTCACACTGAGGAAAAACAAGGAAGCCTTGGACAAAGTAAGCTGAGCTGTAGGGACGAGCTGTTCTCTTCTTGCTTTCACAGAGCAGTCAGGGATTCCCATACGCTTCTTGGAGCACTGCTGGCTCCAGCATGAGACATCCACAGGGCAGGCAGCACGACTTTTGGAGAGGAGGAAAAAGCTGCACCAAAGCTTGTGTTAAAAATACTTCCATCTATCTGTGAGAGCATTTTGACAATGCAAAAGGCATCTGAACACGAGAAGAAACTCCCTGAATACCTTCCTGCAACCACATTTCTGATGCTGGTGGGAGCCAGTGACAGCTTTGCTATCACTTTCAGTGGGCGCAGGCTTCACACCAGCTCTGTTTACCCCTAGGCAGGGTAAAGGTGTTTGTCAGTCTCCCTGGAACATTGTTCAGGCAACGCAAAGGGGCTTCAAATCAACACCAACACAAATGGAGTTTTTCCACCAGTAAAAATCAAACTTGGAGAGCGTGAGGTTGAAATGCACAGGAAAACAGAGGGCAAGGAAGGGGCATTATTCCAGGCCAGAAGAATCCTGTTCAGCTGCAGAATTCAGAAAGGACACAACTCATCCAAGCACCTTCCAAATGGTGATGGTCCCACTGAAGCAGCAGGATGGCTTAAGGACAATGAGAGGGCACAGACCAAGGCTTGTAGGAAAGGCTATGTTCACCTGTCCAAACATGTATGCTGCATGATGTTTATTGAGCATTTCTTCCATCTTCTTTATTTGAATTCTGACCAAATCTGCAGAACTTTTCCACCGTTTTCCCCTGGAAAGATGGGCTATGTGATACAACACAATTCAGCAGCTGGGACTATGAGCTCAGTACTGAGCTTCAGAGTACAGGGCCTCCACATCCCATTTCTCTGCCAAACAACAACATATCCTGAAAAAATATGGGGATACTTCAACTGGAAAAGTGCAATGCTCAGAGTTGAAGGGGTGAGCACGTGGCAGGAACCCCAGGGGGGCCAGATGCAGCACTGGGACTGTAGGCTCAGCCCCTGCTGGGAGAGGACAGGCAGTTCAGAGTTCCTCAGTTGTTACTGTATGTTCCTCAATGTATTACTGACATCTGTTTGGCTTTTATTGAGAGGTCTTAACACCTGCATTTACCTCTGCCAGCGTGGATCTCAGCTTTACCAACTCTTTTCTAGTCCCTCAAGCACCATATAAGCTGAACAGAGGCACTGAACAGAAACACAGCTCTTCTTTTACACAGAGATGGAAGAAACACTACAGCACTGGCACAGAGAGCCCAGAGACGTGATGGATGCCCCAACCCTGCACGCACCAAAGGTCAGGGAAGGGGCTCTGAGCACCTATGGAGCTATGGGCGGCCCTGTTTGTTGCAGGAGAATGGGACCAGGTGGCTTTTAAAGCCCTTTTCCAACTCAAATGATTCTATGATTCTGTGAGCACTGTACAAGCGACTACAGAAGTAGCACGATGCTACAGAAGGATGTTCCAATAGTTACATAGAAAAATGATTTAACAGTGTATTTTCAATTAAAAATTAACCATTTCAGATATCATTTACCACACTCTAATAAGTTTAACTCAAGAGCTTCTTCTGCTAAGGTCAAGAATTAGTAAGCGCATGTGATGGCCAAAGTTCAAGTTAAAATCTGCTGAAGCTTGAAGCCTTCCAGTAGAAAAGCAGTATAACCTGGTCAGAAAGACATCTTCTAGCAGGCAAGATTTTTCTGAAACTGCTGCAGCAGCCATTGAGAAGTGCCCACATGAGTATTTAAATGCTCCAATAGTGATAAACAGACTCCACAGGGCACAGGAGTTCTGTGCCTATACTTGAGGTGTACCACAGTGGTTGAAGAAAGCATGATAAATCAGTTCTGCAAAGACCACATCCGCGGTTTTTCTAAGAAAAAGAAGAGACAATGTTGTTTTTTTTTCCTTCCTCCCACTACTGCAACAAGCAGCTTAGAAACTTCTATCTCTTTGCTAGGTAAGCCTTAAAGAAATTCACATTTACAGATCTGAACTACACCCCAACTGAATTACACACAAATGGCCAAACCAAGAGCAGTGTGACCACTTCCTGTGTGTGAATAAGACAAATGGTATGTGTACCTCAACGAGCAAGCCAAACCGGAGGGCAGAGTGTGAATATGGGATGGATCTATTCTTCTTTAAACAATGCAGCCAGGGAGGGCTTCCAGCAGCCATCAAGACAGCTCGTGGGACTTCCGGATGCTGTTTGTTGTGACCAAATCCCTCAGCCTCTGAAACTCTAAGTTGCAGAGCAGCATATTCTGTGTTGGTGAAAAGGGCTACAGCTCAGTGCGAGCACCTCTGGGTACACATCTCTGCCCACAGGTTTTTGGTTCACACGCACTGGGTGTGCTGCCCATGAATTACAAACCTGAAGGCAACACTCCAACATGGGAAATCCCAGGCAGAAAGGCAGCAGTCATGTAAATAAGGATATCCTCCAGGATGAGGACTTGGAGATCACAGAATCGTTAAGATTCAAAAAAACATCTAAGATCACTGAGTCCACTGTGCCCAGGGCCACATCCCTCAGAGCCACGTCCCCATGGTTCTGACACACCGCCAGGGATGGTGATCCCACCACTCCATGGGCAGCCCATGCCAGTGCCCGACTGCTCTTTCAGGGCAGAATCTTTCCTAACATCCAACCTAACACACAGCAGTTCTGTTCCAAGCTGATGCCATTGCACGCTACCCAGTGTTTAGCAAGCACAGCATGCAAGAACATCCAGCTCCACAAATGAACCTGGCACATTAAAAAGACTGCCTCTACTTGCATAAAATGCCACCACTGGGTTGGCATGAAAACACATCGAGTGCATTAGATCAAAAGGTACAAAGATGGCACAGCTGCAACCCGTGCCGTAGCACCCTGTGAGATGAATACTAGAACCACCAAAGTGCATCTGTCTTGGTGGGTAAAATCTATCTACTGTGCCAAGCTGGTAGCTGGCAGAGGCAGAAGGTGCACCAGCAGCACTGACCCATCCTAGGGCCATTTTATGGAACTTCCCGTCACGCTGCTGAGCTTCTTCGGTCCCACTTCTACTATTTGTCCCCCATGTGATGATTTCTATGGCTACAGCCCGGCAGCAGAGCATTCCGGAGACGCTGAGCCCTGGCAGAGCGCTGAAAGGAGCGACGTCGGGGTGGGACCGCTGCAGCCCCAGTCCTACACAGCCCTTTCCATCAATTCCCTTCCTGGCGGCCTTTCTCCACCATCGGATCAGACCCAGCTCCCATACTCGCCGCTTTACCACGTACACACGACCCAGCCTTCGCTCCTGCTCTCAGCCCCATCGGCCGGGGCTGGGGAGGCGTCCGCTGAGAACTGCGAACAGAACCGCGAACGCCGTCAGACCCCGAGGGGACTCGGGAAGGCGCGGGGAGATTTTCCATAAATATTCCTTCGTTACTAAAGAAGTAAACAACGCACACAACGCCGCGATGCGGAGCCCGAGGCCGCCGGCCCCCCGCCCCGCGCACACAAAGGGCCGTACCGGCGGGCCGGGCCCATTGTGAGGGCAGAGCGAGCTGCTGTGGCGGGCGGCTCGGTCCCGCTGCCCTTCTTAAACGGCTCCGTTCGGTTTATCCCCCAGGGAAGAGGCACCGCGCGCACGCCGCCTCCACCACGCCTTTGTCGGGGGAACCGTGGCCCCCAGCGCGGCCCCGCAGCCGGCCCTGCCCCGCCCCGCACGCCCCGCCGGGCCCCACCGAGCGGCCCCGGGGCCGGGACGCCGGGCCGACCCCGATGGGCGCGGCGCAGAGCGGCGGTGCCCCCCGCCGGCCCCGTCCCCCCGCTCCGCTCCGCGCTACCTGCTGATCTTCTGCGCGAAGGCGCGGCGCTCGGCCATGGCTCGCTCGGCGCTAGGAGCCGGGAACGGGCGCCGTAATGCTCGGCGGAGGCGCGCACCCGCGCGGCGCTGCCGGCCCGGCTCCCCCCCCCGGCGCTGGCCGTGCCCGCCCGCTGCTCCCCCTGCTGGCGGCGCGGCGCCGCTGCTCGCAGACATACGGCGCTCGGAGGACTCATTGTCCCCGCGCGGGCGCGGCCGCCGCTCAGTGCCGGCAGCGTCCGCAGCCCCGGCGCCGGCCCCGCGCGGGCGCCGCCTCCTTCCCCGGCGGGCTGAGCCGTGCCGTTGCCGTTGTGAGGGCCGAGCGCTGTGATGCTTCGCTGTCCTTCAGAACAGCAGGGTTTGGCTGTTGGGAACAAAGAGAAACCGGCGTATCGCGCTAAGCTCAGCCCCAAAGCCCCAGCGGTGCCTCGAAGCGGCGTGACGCGACTCCCATCGCTCTGTCCTGAGGCTGTGCTGCCGTGCAACGCTATTTCAGTACTTCAAAGGCAAAGATTGAATCCAGGCCTCGTCCCCACAGATAAAGCAGAGCCAATGCTGCGCCGACACGTGCCATGCATTAATCTAAAGCAGAAGACTATTAATAGCAATCCCGGAAATGTCCCAAAGTTGCAAGTGTGAATTGGGCCGATGCCATCTGTGTGCGATGTGTGATCGCTTCCAGCACCCGTTACACGGGGAATGTCAGGCCCTGAAATCCACAAATATATGCATGTGTGAGCTGAGCAGACTCCGTGCGAGTACGAAGTGAATCTGGTGGCGATGAGGTTGTGGCCTGCTACACAACTGTGCTGGCACGCGCTACGCAGATGCGCACACACTGCACGCAGATGGGGATGCTGCAAAGCAAAGCCCCGTTGTATGCGATGGAGAAAGGGCTGCTCCTCACCACGGGGGAGGGGAGGAAACATCCCCAGCCTCTGCCAGGACAAAGAGTTCTGCTGCTGAACTGCTGCTGGCATGTGGAATTGCAGGTGGGATGAATCCATCACAGAGGGTGGGCAGGATGAGCCGAACAGCCATTCATTCAACTCCTTACATCTGAGTTTTTGTCCATCCTTTACATGCAGAACCACCAGATGTATTTCCTTGCATAGAATTTCTTTTCCAAAGAGCCATCAGTGGAGATGCAGGACTTGTTTCATTCTGCTTGAAAGGAGAATGTTGCTGCCCAACTCTTCTGTAGTGAAACTGAGAATCCTGCATATCTGGAAAGGAACATTTGTGTCACTGCCAGGAGGTGCCACAGAGCAATGCAGCCCCAAACCCTGCCACACAGACACAGTGTCAGTGGTTGATGAAGAGACTTCCTGGATTTTAGGTTTCATTCTCACCCCTGACAGAAGAACTTGTTTTGTTGGCAGTGCATGCAAAGTTGGCTCAGTATTATCCCCCAAAGCTATGTATCCCTTATTTGAAGCTTTCTACAGCTGGCTTGTCAGTGTGGGCTGTCAGAGGTCACCACCACTTATCTGTCAGTGCCCTGCTCTGCACTGCCTGTTCCTGAGCTGAAGCTTGGCCAGACGAGCTGCAGCAAACTTGCTTCCAGCAGCACAGCCACCTCAGTGCTGGAAGCAACCAGCAGAGGGGCAGTGGGTGAGACACAGATGTGCTCTGACATCTGAAAGCACAAGGAAGCAGAGCTCTGAACTTTTGGCTGAGGTGGGGACACCCGTCCTGCCCTGACACTCTTGCCAGAGAGACAGCAGCCTTGCTGGAAGAGCAGGAATATAGCTGAGAGCAATCAAGCTTTGAATTATGGCAACAGTCTCTCCTGTGCAGTGAAGGGCCTTTGTACAACTTGCTATATGCTAAAATGGGGCAAGGGGCAATGGGGCAATCATAGAATCACAGAATGGCTTGGGTTGGAAGGGACCTCAAGGATCGTGAAGCTCCAACCTCCTTGCTGCAGGCAGGGCCACCAACATCCACATTTGATACTAGACCAGGCCGCCCAAGGCCCCATGCAACCTGGCCTTGAACACCTCCAGGGATGGACAGGGCATCCACAGCCTCTCTGGGCAGCTGTTCCAGCACCTCACCACTCTCATAGCAAAGAACTTCCCCTTGGTAGTTCACCTTTCTTCACTTCACCCTCATAATGAAGATTTGTTACTCACCTTCTAACAGCCCAGCAACAGCCTACAAAGTTGGTGTCAATGACTTTAAATACTGAGAGATCTCAGGCTGGCCCTTGTAAAGAGATCCTGCAGATTGAATCCGAATGTTGCAGTGTATGGAGTACTAACCAAGAGAAATCAAGGAAAAAGAAATACGATGGGAAAAATGGGAGTATTTCACAAACAAAAAACAATGCCAGACACGAAAATTCATGGTGACAACAAATCCTGACTCCGTATCACTGACAGATCAGTGTGATTGACGTTGTGGTATGTCTGTATTATTTCGAGTGCTGTCACTGACAGGCACTGAGTCACATAACCTATCTGCCTCTGTTTTCTCATTTGCAAGTGAAGATAATTAATAGGAGGAAATGTTTTGTCTGAAGAAAGAAACTCATGCTTCATAAAGACAGTGTGGACAACCTGTGATGCGGGATTTCAGTGTGAAAAACACTTTTCTCTAGACATCTCTTTGGAAACAAGCAACTTCTGGTTCAAAAGCAACTGTTGTTGTGTGGCACATTTTACCTGGAGTAGAAAACAGAACTATTTTCTTTAAATTAGGGTGACATTCCTTCAGCACACTGTAATTTTTAACCCCATTTTAGAAAGCAAAAAAGGAGGCACTTGTGTTGTTTTACATGTGATTCCATAGATGGGATGAATCTGCCTTGGAAAGACCCTACTACATCCCAAAGAAGTTAGCCCATCTGCACAGCCATCAGTAAGGCATCTGCTGCTCCAGGTAAGCACACTTGTCAGTGAAAAGGGGTGATACTCACTTTTCCTGGGCACATTGATGCTTCAGCAGGACAGAGCATATGCTGAACTGGGAGGTGAGGGACACTGTGGACATTGATGAGGCTCCACTCTATCTGTTGCATTTCCTTTCTAGTCACCCCGCTGATGTGGGGGCTCAGGAGGAGCCCAGCAAGTTATCATAACATGGACTGCCACGTTGAAAGTCACTCTTCTCTAATAAACGTTGTTAAGAAAATGCAAGGAACAAATAGTTGTGTTTATATCTGTGAGCTGTGCTGGGTCTGAGCAACTACCCGTCTAAAGCTTATAGCCTAGACAAGGTGCTCTACAACACACGTGTGTCTGTGAAACATCTGCCCTAATGAATGAAGAAGCATTGCTGTAAGTTCAGAAGCATTCCTTCCCATAAACCACATGCATCCTTTAAAATAAGCGACTAAATTGGTTTTGGTTTTGTTTTTTAATTGAGAACAAATCTTACTTGGTTATAACGAAATTTGGTAAGTGCATGTTCTGAACACAGGTGCAACTCATTGAATCTGATAACTCCTAAATTAAGTTCTGCGCAAGAAAAATCTTTTGTGCTGTAGCTGCAAACCATTTTGCAAGAAGCAAACTGATCCCATGCTTTGTTTGTTAGCAGTCCATTTACTCAGCCAGTGCTTCCTTGTTCTTCTTACATAAACTTCCTCAAAGCAAAAACATTGGATACATTTTCCACCGCAAATGTGTCCAGCATTAGTCAATAAACAAAGAAGTAAACATGGGTCTGTAAATTCAGAGAGCCATCTACTGGCAGCTAAGTGAAACGAATTAAATTAATTAAGGGCCAAATCTCTGCCTGTCTCTTGAAAGTCATTTCTTTGAAGTTAAGGAACTAAACATGAACAAACTCATTTCAAGACTTGTGGCAAGAGTGAAGATGTTGGAGTTCTCGGAGCAGGAAAGTGCAGCTTCATTTGCCCAGTGCTCAGATTCTACTGGGTGAATGGGAAACTAAGGATAACAAAATAAAGGAGTGAGGACTGTTGGAGCACCTGCAGCCTTCCTCACATTCCTCATGTCGATGCTATTTCTTTTACAGACAGCTCAAGACAGGCATAGCAAACACTAATGGAGCCAAAGTGCCCTATGTGTAGTGTTTCAAAGATCAGTTTTAAAGGGAACAATATTCTTCCTCGCTGCCATCAGAAGATCACAGGAGTTACACACAGCAAGAAAGATACGCTGCAGTTCTGGGGACTGAATTCAAATCATGTCAACTTCTGCAAAACAGCTGTGCATAAAACAGCCTCCTGCCTAGAGCAAAATTTCCCTATCCCAGTGGAGAATCACACTTCCTTTCTTGGGAACAGCAGTCCCAGGCACTGGTGCTCTTCCCTGGCCTAATCCCAGGAGAGGGTAAGAAAATCTGTTTTTGGATGGAGTCAGTGGTACGAGCAGAATCACACTGGCAAAATCTGTGGAGGCAAATACCTAAACTGCAATCTCTGCAGGAGCCATGCTCAGTTTGTCCCTTTCATTCTGCAGAAGTGCTCTGAGGATGGTGCACATACTGCTGCCTCAATTGCACCCACAAGCAGACGGACACAGCAGGCACACGTGAGCAGGCTGACACTTGGTAGAAAGGTGGCTTGTCTAGAAAAGGACAGCTGGGCTGACAGCGTAGTCACAAAGTCTGTGCATACACCAGGGAAAGCAATACCAGAGAATCCTTTGTTCCCTGAAAGGTTTCCTCAGGTTTACATGTTTCTTTGTTGCTTTGCTGTGTGCTTGCACTAGCTATTAACCTTGAAGATTCCAGTTTCCTTGGGAAACCCATGACATTCTAAAGTAACAGGTTTGCTTCAGAAACAAAATATTCATCGCAGCGGTTATATTTTAATTAAAAACACTTGTAGTCTTTACAAAGCTCTGTGTTCTTTATCTAACCATTCTATTTCCAGTAGTGTTGCTAAGCACAAACAACCCTGTTACAAGCATGTCTGAGGTTTTCTGCTCCTGAATGAGTGGGAGTAACCTTAGAGTAAAATATTCTAACAAGCAGTTCTGAGAGCAGCAGAATTAGCGCAGCCTTGATTGCAGTCTTCCTCCTTTAACCCATCACAGTGTCTCTTTCTGCTTGAGCAGCTATTGCACAGAAACTGGAGGCCTGTAGTATCTTCAAGGCTCTACAAACCTGATTCAATTGCCGAGTGGTCTTAAAGCTTTCCAAAGGGAAGTAGATCAGAAATGGCTTACTTCCCTAGGAAATTAAACTAAAAATAAACGATGAAAAATTCTTTCCAGCTGTTTGACCTAAGGTCTGCACTGCTTACAAAACACACAAACAGCTGCTTATAAACATATTGCATATTATTGGTGGATGCTCAGATCCCAAAGGTGAACTAGTGGACTAGCTGCAGATACAGGAGCATCTTCATTCCTCTAACTGCCCAGCATTTTGGTGCTATCTTACCATTCTGCAGTGAATAGAAGTTGTGTTACCATGGTATCTCAGATATCCATAAAGCAGAGAGCATCTTCATCTTTTTGATGCTGCCTCTTTGTGTTACCTGTTTTGCTTACCTACTAAAAAAGGAAAGACAAATTACATCTTCCATAATCACAGATTTAAAATATTTCATTACTCATCCCATACTAATTTAGCACAAATGGATGGTTTGCATGGCCTTTATGGTATTAAAATGTTGCAAGTGCAAACTATGTGACGTTCGTTAGAATTCTGTTGAACACAATATGTTCTTTCCCACTCCTTCTGCAAATCTTTCCTACAGAGAAGGAATTAGTCAAGGTGAAGGAAACTCTCTTTACAGATAGTTATTTATGGTTGCCTGTGGAATTATTTTGCAATCAAAGCTTTGTTTTGCATGATCTGACTGATGCAAAAAGCAGAAAATAAATATCTTCATTCTCATAACCTGATTGCCTGAGGGATTTACAATGTATATCCAGATGGCATATTGTGTGGCCTATCAAATCAGGGCATGGTTATTAAATTTCAAAGCAGGAAGGTGCAGGCAACTAATTTCAGGCAAGGGAATAGTCATTTCATTTGATCAACTGAATAATTCTTTGTTCAATATTTACCCAAATCCAAGCCATGTGAGCTACTGAGCTCTCAATATTCGAGACCATACACAAACAGACAAGCACATTCATCTTTGTCTTTGAAAACATAAGCAAAGATGAAACTTTAAAGAACTATTATTGCTAAAATGGGTCATAACATTTGGAAGGCGGGAGGCCTGTCTCCTTCTGCACTGACAGATTACCCGGACTGTATGGACAGTCTTTCATGACTTTAATACAAACAGCAAGCGTGTTTTACTTTAAAATCTTTATCTTGGCTTGGAATATGCACAGGGCACGAGAGCAACTTTCCCTGCATCACCGCTCCTTTCTGGTTTTGAGAAGGAACAGCAACAGCTGCTGTGTGGAGATGCTCACTGCTGGAGCTTGAAGGATTCCCCCAAAGGACTGGGATGGCTGATTTATGGGTGTGCAGCGGTGAGCTGAAGGGCAGTAGGGAGCAGAGTGCTGAGCTCCTACATCCCGGCTCCAACCCAACACTTACATCCTTGAAACAAGGTTTGTCTTCTGCTCTGCACATTAATACCCAAGATCTTACGTGCTTATGGACCCGATCCGTACATTAAAAAAAAAAAAAAAAAAAAAAGCAGCCAACGTTAAAACCAGTTGTTGGTGCTTCTGAAGGTCACCTTTAGATCAGTACTATAACGTGCTGCTATAAAAAATACGTAAGCGCAGCCCGATGGCCTCTAGCCTCCAGAAGGCAGTCAAATCATGACATGGGAAAAAAAACAAAAAGCACGTTTTCCTCACCATCTCAAAGGTGTGCTGCTGCAGCGCCGAGTGCAGGGACAGCCTTACTCAAGGGCAGCAGGGATATGAAATGGGATATGAAATTTAAGCTGCATCCTGCAGTTTTTTTGTTGGTGTTTCTTTTGGTGTTTTCGGTTTTTCCTGGGGGGAGGGGGGGGGGAAGGCAGAGCAGCATTGGCTCCCCACACATCCAGTGGTTATTTTTAAGCTGAGAACTGATGAAGAACCGCCTTCATGAAACGCTACAACCAACCGCTCAGCAGGTTGCTCCTCTCAGGAAACTGAGAGGCATGATTCCTCCCTACGTACTTTCAGAACATCAACTTTAAAAAGCGATTTGAAGTGTTAACAGCGTTAGCGTGCACTTAACTTTCAGCTGGGGTTTTAAATCCCATCAGCCCCCACAGAACGTGAGGTTTTTGGAGCCCCGTCGCTGTGGCGCAGCTACAGCTGGTGCGCGCGAGGGCAGCGATGCGCCGCGCCCTGCGCCCACCTTCCCGCGGGCTCGCCCGCAGCCCAGCCCTCCTCCCGCCGGACCACAGCTCCCGGCATGCCCCGCGCGGGAGCGCCGCCGGCCTAGCCGCCCGCCGCCGCAGCGCCCTCTGGGAGCTGTAGTCCCTCGCGCGCCCCTCGCGGCTAAGCACCGGCGGGCCGCTCCTCGGCCGGCCGCGCCACGGGGCTCACCGCGCGGTAAGCGGCGGGCCCCATCTTGCCCGTCAGCCGGAGCGGAGACTCAGCAGAGAGCCGCTGTACAGGCCGCCGCCCCGCCCCCAAGGTACGGCGACCGCGAAGGGCCGCGGCGCTGCGGCGGCGCGAGCGGGGAAGCGTCGATCACCCCGCGAGGCGCCGGCGGGGGAAGAAAGGCGAGCGCGGGCAGGTGAGGGGGGCGAAGCGAAGCGGAACGGCGGCGGCGGCCGCGCGTATTCTCGGGCGGAGCCGGGGGCAGCGGCGAGCGCGGCGCGGGCCGGGGCCGCGCGGTGCCAAGGCTCGGGCCGGCTGGGAACGGCCCCGCCGTGAGTGCGGCGCGGGGAGGTCCGAGCGGGTGTCATGAAGTGGCGCGCGGTGTGACGGAGCGCGGCTACGCGCCGTTCTGCTTCGCGCGTCCTTTAGGAAATATCAGCCGGCCGCGCGCCTGCAGCTGGAAGGTCCCGTGCGGCCTCCCGGCCTTCCCGCGGGCGTTTACGCGTGGGTCGCGCTCGCTGTCGTTGCAAAAATTCCGTTTCTGTACTGAGAAAAAAAAAAAAAGTGAGGGCGGTCGTCATTCTTTAATTAATAAACGGTGTAGTCGCATTGAGAGGCTACTCAGCCTTCAGCGCAGCTGCTGGGCTGCTCGTACGTACGGGGAAAACCCCAACGAACAGCCACTGAGCTGCCTGCAGCCCAGCACGGAATCACAGCGTGGCCAGGGTTGGAAGGGACCTCAAAGATTCTGAATCTCCAGCCCCCCACCACATGCAGGGCGACCAACCTCCCCATCTAATTACTAGACCAGGCTGCCCAGGGCCCCATCCAACCTGGCCTCAAACACCTCTAGGGATGGACAGGGCATCCACAGCCTCTGGGCAGCTGTTCCAGCACCTCACCACTCTCTCTGTAAAGAATTTCCCCCTGCACGCAGCAGGGAGCAGCAGCCCATGAGGACGGAATTCACCCCGAGAGCCATTGCTGTCATCCAGCGTCCTACATAACTTTTGTGTGAGACAGCTCCAGTATAAACCAGCAGCTGTAGGTTTGTAATGGGTTGCACTGTGCCCAGTGGGCTCAGATCTGTATTCACAGCCATCTTCTCTCATTAATCTCTGGGGAACCGAAGCTCTTGTGATAATGGGAGGGCTGTATTTTTCAACAGAACAGATTTGGCTGTTTCATGTTAGCATTTTTCTTTGGAATCCTTTTCACATGTATAGCATCACACCATAAGGGCTGGAAGAAGGATGCGCACAGATGACAGCGCATTGTCTTTAAAGGAAAATGAGCTTTTTCTCATTTCATCATTTTTCCTTCAGCCCTTTTAGGAACAGTAGAGCTTGTTCCGTTCCTAATTTTAGCCAGGGGAAGCTTTTACAGTTACTAGCTTTTGTGGCAACCACTGGTCTCTACATAAATGGCCATCTCTGATCCATCACATGAGCACTGACCAGAGGAAGCACACCTCACCTCCTGCATGCATTACTCTCACCAGTTTGGCCAGCAAGTCAGTGCTGCTCATCTGTGCAGCCTTTTCTTCCCTAAACAAAAAAAAATGGGAGTGGGAGAGGTGACAAATCAAGTCCCATCCTTTAACTGTCTTTCTCTTCTTTCCCCTACAAAAAACCCAGCTTAATTCACAGCTAATCAAACTTGGCTTTTGCCAACTGTTACTTCTCAAGAGCAGAAAGCCATCAGTGTTCCCACATGTTTGTGTGCCTCTTGTTGGGTCAAAAAATTCTTGATGAATTTTTATAAAATAATAGGATAACAAATAACATGTTAGAGAAGGCCTGGGCAATAAATTGTTGTGTTCCATGCCCTACCTGCAGTGCTCTGAGCAGTGCTTTCACTTCTTCGGGCTCTGAAGACACTGACTCCCCAACATCTTTACTCTCTCTTCACCGAGATACCAGCAGTAGGAATCATGCCATCAGCAGTTAAATTTCATTTACTGAAAACATGCTCACAGTGGAAAGAAGTAATAATGCTTGTGTCTTCATCTGCTTTTGATCCCAGTTCGATGGAGAACAACACAGGGAAAGGTAGATGCAGCTCAAGATTCTCTGTTTAAAATAAGGAGGGTATGTATAACATCAATAAATTACACTCAGCAATTTAGAGCTAGTAAATACACGCATCCTTTCACACAATTTAAGCACTTTTCTACAAGAATGATCTGCACAGCAGTGCCTTTCACCCCCATTTTACCTCTCTCACTTTTGTAATACAGTTGAACTGCTGCAAAAAAAAAACAACTCCACAATTCAATCAGAAGAGAGCCTGTTTGCACCGCAGGTGGTATTTAGAAGGGATGTAAACTACACATGGATTTGATGGCAGTATTCTGCTCATCTTCTGGCAAGTAAATTCTGTTCAGAATTATGTCATTGCACACATTGTTGGTAACTATTTTCTGCCATGTGCACGCACAGCAAAACATGTTCTGTGTCTGTCAGTTCCTCCCACATACAAACACTGTGGCTTAGGAAAGTCTTGATCAGAAATCTAAAGCTAATGCAGTTTCTCATGCCAAGGCATGCTTGCTGATGCTCTGAATCTCTGACAGCAGAAAGAGATACTTCCTGTATTCTTCTCAATGGAAAAGAATAGTATCTGTTCTGTTCAGTGAAATACAGCTCTTCATTGCACTGCAAACTGGAACGAGCATACACACACACTAGCACAGTTTACATGCCCTGGATCAGTTTGTTGTGCAATAGAGAGTTGTTGGAGAACATTATATTTTATTTAGCTTTGTATGGTAATTTTACTAGTGTATGTTTGGAATTAAGTGTTATTATTATTTATTCATGGAACACGTAATTGCCTCTCAGCAACCTTATTACTGTTTCTGGTCATGTGCAGGCAGTGATACTACACCCTGCGTTCTCTGTGCCGTGGATACATTTATATTTTTGTTTTTACAGTAGCAGAATTTAATGTCTTGCAAGACAGCGATGGCTTTTCCTCTAGAATTTGAATATGGAGGCCACAGGGACAGATGAAGTGGAAAAGATCAAATCAAAGTTTATGTCAGCATGGAACAACATGAAATACAGTAAGTGAAATGGTGTTTGGCCAGATCCCATCCCCACTGGATGGAAGGAGTTTTCCCCAAGCAACCTAATGTTGTGATGAAGCATGGTTAGTTAATACTACAGGAAAATTGATAGTCTTGCACTTCCATTGATCATATGTAGAACCTATTGTATGTTATTGCAGGGGATGGAAACCCCACCAAATCAAACCACACAATAATGAACTCCCAGTCAAAACAAAGCAACTTGAACTCAGCTTTAGCACCTCTGTATCTCAACAGTTTCTGCACAGTAGCACAATTGCATTAGCATTCAAGTGTTCATGTATGGATAACCATTAAGTTTAAGACAGAACACTCACCTCTGTTTTGTAATATTACCCATTTTAGTGCATTTACTCTGTACTCCTCTTTTGGGGCTTACCTTCGGCTTAATCAAATGCCACTGGCAATGTCTTATGGAAGTAATTCACTCACAGATTTGCATTTGTTCTGCATTTATTTCAGGTTGGGTATTGAAAACAAAAACTTACTTCAGTAGAAACTCTCCAGTCTTTCTGCTGGGAAAATGTTACCACTTCAAATCTGATGGTACGTAGACATCACATAACACATTTCAGTCTTACTTGGCAAGATCTCTGTATATATTTTTAATCCTCTCTGAGGATTCTTCTTTCATGATCACTGAATTCAAAATGTGAATGCGAAAAGCTTAGAAGCTTTATATTCAAAATATGTTGACCACCACGACTGATGCAACCTATCCTAACCTGCTTCATCTGCATTTTGCTGTGAAGCCTTGTTCTTTCTGTAAATAGCAGCCCTCCAGATTATTCTTTATTTACCTATCAAACTGGCATTTTCTAAAAAAATGCATAGTGACAATTCTCATATGAGGAGTGACACCAAAACCTTCATTATCATTTTCCAGAATGCAGTTTTCAAAGTTTTTTTTTCCTGAATGTCTCTATTAGACTACTTACATTTAAGTGAATTAAGCAGTTGTTTCCTTGCAGAAGCAATTTCATTGACACTTGTTGGCTCTTATTTTTTTTTTTTTCAGCCAGCACACTTCTCATGTATTTGCTGTGCAATTTTCCCTCCTTGTATTTGAAGCAACTGTTGCTTTTTCCAACTTTGCCCTATCTTTCCAATTACATTGCTGTATATTGTATTTTCATCGCAGTAACAGAAGCCCCGTTCCCACCTTACAACTTAAACTGTGCTTTGCTTTACAGAATCTGGTGAACTCTCTACAGAGGGATCCAACTTTGATAAAATCAACACAGAGATTTCAGGAAACGTTGAGGAGTTTCGTAAAGATTTCATTTCTAGGATATGGCTGACCTACCGAGAGGAATTTCCTCAGATAAAGGGGTCTGCACTCACAACAGACTGTGGCTGGGGCTGCACGCTCAGAACTGGTCAGATGTTGCTGGCTCAAGGCCTTATGCTTCATTTCCTTGGTAGAGGTAAGTTACAAGCAAGGAGCTCTGTATTTGGTGTGATTAAGCACAGGCATTTTGGTGGGAGCACAAAAGTCTCCATACAGCCAGAATTTGAAGTTCCAGCTAGTTTTGGTTCTGGACTTCTTTTCCTTGATACTAGAATTTGTTATGTTGTGGCAGAGCATTGCTTTAGCTGACCTGCTCTTCCATTTCTGAAAAGGAGAGTAGCAGGGTGTAGCAATTGGAGAAAGCAATACAATGGGAAAGGTGTTACAACAAAGGTGTGATGATGGGAGGACTGGCACGATAGAGAGGTGCTATAAGGAAAGGGAGGAAGATTACTCACTTGTATCAGAAGATGCTAGGCTTGCAGGAAGAAGCTTCACTGAGGAGAGATCTCTAGAGATTCTTCCCTAGTGACAGTCAGCCCTTAAATGAGGTCTAAATGAGGAGCCAGGTTCCACCCCCTCCAGTCACTCAGCTGAATTGCCCTCACCTGTGCTCCCAGGACTGACTTTCCCCAGGTGCTCAATCAGTGGTTCAGGCTGTGACGCAACAGTTCCCATACACAGAGTTTGTCAAAGAAAGATGCTGGAAACTGGAAGTGAAATACAAGCAAAAATTGTGATCCCATACCTGTGTATTGCTATTAGCCCTGTAAATGTCCAATTCTCTTGAATCTTCCTCGTTTCTCGAACTGAAAATGTGGAAATGAGTTCCACAGCCCATAGCTGTGGGCTATAGCAAAAGTGATGTTCTTTTATCAGTTTTTAAGTTGTACATTATTCAATTTCTTCTAGTATTAATATATTGAGTTAATAGAAGGATTTTAATCTAACTTCCATAGATCATTCTTTGTGTTGAAATTTTCACTAGCTCATTTCCTCCCTTTCCCCATGTACTTCTCTTTTTTTTCTCCCCTCCTCGTCTATCTCAGAATACTCTTTCAATCACAGCTGTTTGAAAGAACTAGCTTTAGGAGACTTGGAACACATTTTGCTTTCAAAGGCTGAGCCTGCATTCCAGCCCCATTCTTCTAAGCTGAGCCTTGTCCTGCCCAGGGCTATTTCTGGATCTCACAGTTACCCACCTTGTCTTTTCATAGAATCATAGAATCATAGAATCACTAAGGTTGGAAAAGGCCTAAAAGCTCATCCAGTCCAACCGTTCACCTATTCCCAATAGCTCCTACTAAACCACGTCCCTCAACGCAACATCCAGCCTTTCCTTGAACACCCCCAGGGTCGGTGATTCCACCACCTCCCTGGGCAGTCCATTCCAGTGCCTGACCACCCTTTCTGAAAAGTAATACTTCCTCATGTCCAGCCTGAATCTCCCCTGCCGTAGCTTGAAACCATTCCCCCTGGTCCTATCACTAATGACACGAGAGAAGAGGCCGACCCCCAGCTCACTACAACCTCCCTTCAGGAAGTTATAGAGAGCAATGAGGTCTCCCCTGAGCCTCCTCTTCTCCAGGCTGAACATTCCCAGCTCCTTCAGCCTCTCCTCATATGGCCTGTGTTCCAGACCCCTCACCAGCTTTGTTGCCCTTCTTTGAACACGTTCCAGGGCCTCAATATCTTTCTTGCAGTGAGGGGCCCAAAACTGGACACAGTACTCGAGGTGCGGCCTCACTAGTGCTGAATACAGGGGAACAATCACCTCTCTGCTCCTGCTTGCAACACTGTTTCTGATGCAAGCCAGGATGCCATTGGCCTTCTTGGCCACCTGGGCACACTGTCAATCCACTTTCATCCAATTTCATTTCATTCAATTACACTTTCATCCTCTTTTCCTCAATCCCTTCCATAATCTACCAGACTGCCCCTTTCAAAGAACTGTTCCTGTCCTCTCTCACCACTGTTTGTTGCCAAAATGATCCAAGACAAGGGCCTGAAGCCGTCGAGGTGCATTAGTTAGGATACAACTTATTGTTGACTAGGCTATTTGGTAGTCCTCAGGAATATTTTAGTAGCAGATAGTTCTGAAAGCCTGTGTTGATCATGCTTTGTACTTACTATGCAAATATGATGTAAGGTGTGAGCACAGTCCCAAGCCAGCTGCATCACAAAGTTGTCTTTCTTGGCAGTGTCATCACTGAAATGTCAGCTTGCCTTACTGAGTGTCCTTTTGCTGAAGATATTTTAAGTCATAAAACATACATTAACATTATTCCTTTCAACTAGTTGAAAATATTTGAAAATCTTGTACTGAGAAATACAAATCCCTTAAATATAACTTTTTTTCTATACATACATTTAAAAAAATGCAAACCAAAACGTGAGTGGGGCTACCTGGGAGTATGGGTTGTGACGGCTCATTCCGAAATAGCTCAAAATAAAAAAGCCCCAGCTTTATGCTTTTCATGTCAATGATTACAAAGAGTTCCTTGCACTGTCCCCAGAGAGTCTCTGTTTAGAAAGTGATGTGGTGATTGCAGAGTGCCATATGGGGCAGTCCAAATATGTACAAAAGTGGAAGTGGTCTGCAACAGACCATGTATGGTCTTGCAGTATTTGTGACCATATGGAGCCCTAAGTTGGATTTTGGAATTAAAATGCAATTGTCTCTGTGCTTCCTTTTTGTTTCTTAGGCTTTTACATGGATACGTCAGCAAGAATTAAATGGAGGGCTGCAGTTCTTGCTCTCTGAATTTGAAAGGATTCCTCTTGCTGCTGTAATGGCAGCCTTGCTGAAATGTGTCTTGTTGGGCAAAAGCGCCTCGCAGAATGAATCACAGAATGGCCAGGGTTGGAAGGGACCTCAAAGATCATGAATCTCAACCCCCCCCACAGGCATGGCCACCAACCTCCACATTTCACAGCAGCCCAGGCTGCCCAGGGCCCCATCCAACCTGGCCTTGAACACCTCCAGGGATGGACGGGGCATCCCAGCCTGTCTGGCAGCCTCATCCATAGCGTTTGTTCCCTCCTGGCACACAGCAGCCTGCCCACCGCCTTCTGGGGCGCTGACTGAGGATTTCAGAATGGTTTTTGATCTAACAGTAAGGTTACTGTTGTAGAGATTTCCTCACATCCTCTGTGTTGCAAATAGTTGTTCAGACTTGTGGGAGAGACTTTCAGTCATCTGACAAAGGAAGCATTACTGCTCTCTAGATGTGCTGAACCACCATGATGTTATTAATAGGAACGAGACAGGAAAGATGCATTGTTAGAGAAACCTCTTACTAGAAATGCACACTGCAGATGCTGTGCTGAACATTTAAATGTGTTTGCCTTGTAGTCCAGGTAAACCTGGGAACTGACACATTCATTAACTAAAGAAATGCGGTGTATTTTTCTGCCAGTCTGCTTTGATGCTGCACCAAGAAGTAGCATTTGTTTTTACATGAGAATTTCCCCAGTCTTGCCTGTTTTTTTAATATCTGACAAACCATTATAATAAAAATCAGGGTTTGAAACTTCTTCTTTGACATGAATGAAACTGTTCAGATGGTACTTGGTAGCTAATTTCTGTATTTAAAATATGTGAGGCTGTTCTGTGCCTTGTAATCAGGTCAGTCTTTTATATGTTAGCTAAGTGGGATCACACAGTCTGACCTGTGATCTCAGCATAAATTGCTTGCCAAGACTTCTGATAGCTGTATTTCCTTCCTCCCATCTTCTAGCAGAAGATAAAAGCAAATCTTGTTGCATTTCAGTTCTTTGTTTACATTTTAGCACTGCTGGCATCTTGTTGTATGAAGTACACATTGTTGGCCTGGAGAACCTGTGGGGAGAAAGGAGGGTGCTCTGCTGATTATACCAAGAAGTGAACAGTAAGCCTAACGTGCATCTTCAAATTCCCCCTGCAGCCTGGGTCTGGCCAGATGCCTTGGACATTGAAAATTCAGATTCTGAATCCTGGACAGCCCACACAGTTAAGAAGCTGACAGCATCGTTGGAAGCATCGCTTACAGCAGAAAGAGAGCCCAAGATCCTGTCAAACCACCAGGAGAGAATAAGGAGAAACTGTGGCGATGGTGAAATGAGAAATGAAGTTTATCACAGAAAGATAATTTCTTGGTTTGGCGACTCTCCGTTGGCAGCTTTTGGCTTACATCAGCTAATAGAATATGGAAAGAAGTCTGGGAAAATTGCTGGAGATTGGTACGGGCCTGCAGTTGTTGCACACATTTTAAGGTAAAAGTCTGGTTATTCTTTGTTGTTACAGTGCTGTGCACGTTATGGGAGAAGCATTTCTGAGCACCATGAGATTACTTCGGCTTAATTGAACATCTCACTGATCATTATTGGCTTCACAAAATGTCCGTATCAGCAGCAATTGGAGAGCTTTTTTCAGAGGCAGGAGTGCAAATAGCAGCAGGTGCAGGAAGTAAACTCAGCACCGCTGTTTGGTCTCAATTCACAACAAGCCTACGTTCCTGTTTTCCTGTCCATTGGGCAGTAGGAGTCCCAAGGTCTCTCCCAAACCCAGGCTTTTAAGTAGAGCTTCATTTTAAGTAGAGCTTCATTGAGTGAAATGTTCTAAAAACTAACCACTCTTTCAACCTTGGAACATGCATAACATTATAGATTTTTTTTTATACTGTAACCTGGGGGCTGTAATGTACTGATAGTGTAATGAAATGTCAGAGCTAAAATTGATGTTTTCAGCATTTCTTTGCACATATCAAATTCTTGTGAAACTGTAAATGTATGGGACTATTAATATTATAATTATATCACAGTAAAAGTAAAGGGTCTGTGACATTCAGTGTGGCTTAAAAAAAAAGTGGAAAGTCAAATTTCTCCCTGCTGTGGTGCCTTTCTGTACCATTTCTTTGAATATTACAGGTTTTTTTTTATAATCTACGTTTATGTTATTAGATACCAGTTCACCTATAAACTACATCACTAATAAGTCATTGAAGCAGAAGAAGTCAAAGTCTGTGTGTTTCTCCATATGTCGATGAACAGTTTTGCTATTCAGTATAGAAGCAGACTCACCTCAGGTGAAACCTGCCCAGAAATGCTCTGGTGTGTGTGTGTGCGTTCATGCAAATACATGCAGTGATGTGACAGGTTAGCATTACTTACGTGTTTTCTTATGTGTTTTGAATTTTTTTCTTGGTATTAGAAACTGTCAGAATTCCTTCTGCTTGCTTTAAATTGCAGTTACCTATTTCCCTAGTATGTGGGGAAAAAACATCTGTTCCAGCATCCATCTAACAAACTCAGCAGTGCTCTGAAGCAGCGCCCAGGATTCCTTTCCCAGATCTCACTTCTCTTCTGGCAGTGCTTACAATGCACAGCACTCCCATCACTTGAGAACGACTGTATTAAACAGTTCTTCAGGATAAACTGTGGAATAAAGGGACAGTGAGCATTTAATGCAAGCATGTATTGGAAGCCAGAGGCCAATCTTGTATTTTGAAGAGTTTAGTTCCTTTACAAATGTTGTCCTTGAA